TTTTTAGTCTAATTTAAACATTGATTTTAAAAAATGTCCCCAAATATTAAAAATTAAACCAGATACTACTTATTTTTTTCCAATACATTGTGCCAGTATATTTTTTTAATATCCAGTGCAAAACTCCAAAGATAGTATCAAAATCATCCCATACTAAAGATTAGTTATGCAAGGTTATATCTGTCAAAAAATGAAAATTTCATCTGTATATTAGCTCATTTGTTAACATGATAACAATAATAAATAAGGCATGTTAAAACATTTTTGAAAGAAAAAAAAGTAAAGCAAACTTACTTGAATAGCAGATCATTTTCTGACCAACAGTTTTAATACAGAATAGTGAAACCTATTTTGTGAAGAACAGAATTACATAGTATAAAATCAGCAATTTACCTTTCAAGGAATAATTATACAGTGGGGGGAAAAGGCCAGTTTTCCCCAACTGACTATGTTAAAGTATAGGCAACTGCTTAACATGCTGTTTCAGTGTTTATCATGACAAGAGACAGTGTTACAAAAGATGCACAACATAGTCTTTATATAGAAGTAAAAATATTTCCTATTTTAAGACTTCATTCATGTAATTACTTAGATGTCTTTCTCTTTAGCATGGCACCAGTAAACTGTTCACAAGGAGAAAAGTAAGCGGAACCAGGAGATGCTCACCAGTGTACAGATCTAACATTCCGGGTAACTGCTCACATGAACAGTAAATTCAGCTTTCTAAATGAGGCTATCCATTCACAACGGCAGCCATTCGCCCCTTTTCCCTGGGACATAGCTCCTGACAATAAACACTGTTATGAACATGCCTCCTTTAGATGATTTCGCCATTTCATAAACATGTACACAAAATTCATTATACAATAAAACACCTGCTTTATCTTCTGACACACAGCACAGCACCACTTAGTAGATGTGCTGGAGGGTGGGAGGAGGGGCGTTAATGTATGAAAGGGCAGGGGAGAAAGAGGAGGGTATGTGTAACACAACCAGGAATGAAAATAAACTGAAAAGGAAATGTAAAGTGGACTTAATATAAAAACAACATGCAACCAAATCCTTGACAACGCTGTATATTGCTCTATGGTAGAACATTTAATTAAACAACTTTCTTTAGGAACTAGCTTGAAAAAGGATTTCTAAGAAGCCAACTGCTGAACATCATCTTGAGAAACGGCTAAATGACAGATACGTAAGAAAAGTAAATAATGAACACATGAATGAAGATGCAAGCATTTGTGTGTGTCAGAAGTTACACTGTTCTGAGTAAATTATTAAAAGTTTTATATTTTAAGCTTCTGCAAGAAGAAGCTCTTGTAGCAATTTAGCTGCCAGAATGTTACAACTGATTTTCTGTAGTCATGCGACATCTCTCTACCGTTTGTGCAAAGCTAGTATTGTTGAGGTCACTGTCCTAGATGCCAGTGCACACACAGTCCCCACATACAATGCAACACCTCTTACTGTAAAGAGCAGCATAAAGTCCAGCTCATTGTGTCAGGCATCACTGGAACACCTGAAGGCTTGCTGCTTTTTTCCTGATAAAAAAGGTATGAAACATGACATCCATTTGCAATCAGAGTTTGCATTAACTGAGAGCAAGCCCAAACAACACAATATGCGCCCTTTTAAAATTTTAATTATTTTTAAAGTTTTTGGGTCCTGCAAATCTACATTTTAATCTCAAAGGCATTTAAAATCTGCAAGTACAAACATTGTAACTTTAATTTAAAGTTCAGTGGAATTTTTTCAAGTCTGAAGTTTATAGTACTTTATTTAAAACAAACAGAATAAATAAAATGTATATTAACGAGGAATATTACTTTCAGAAAGGAAAGAAGAGAGATTTCCCTCTGTCCATATTACACATATCTACCCAATACTTTTTTTTTTCCTTTTCTATCTTGCTTTTAAAGCTAACATTATCAGGGGAAAAAAATTTTCTTTTGGATGAAGTGGTCTCACTAGAGCCACAATAAGATTTTAATTGAACTAACCAATATATTTTTTACATGTTTCATGCATAGATGGATTCCTACATATTTCTTAATATTTGGGTTCTGATGGTCAGGAAACTGCATTCTGTTTATACCAGTTTTACAGTCTACCATTAAATCTGTGTCCTTTGGTAGATATAAACCTGAAAACACAGTAAGTGCTAATGCAATGGAACAATTTCTCAGAAAAACTAAAAACATTTCAAATAAATGAGCAACATTAACAAATTGTTTTAAAACATAATTTTAAAACTAATTACACGAAAGGCAAAATATAGTGACTACAGCTACATGCAGATCTTGAGAATGTTTAGTTTTTTATATGAAATATGCTATTCTCAAAATGCATTGTATTTCACGAAAAATGTAATGTGCAGCTTTTATAAAATAGTTTAAATTTTTTGTAAATATGAATTGTTTGTAGTGTTTGGTATATATGCTCTTAGGCAATTAAAAAATACACAACCTATCACTGCTCAAAGACAAACACTAAAGAATTATTTTAGGAATAATGGTTAAATCAATTAATGCCATATAGATCAATATATAAGCTGCTTAAACCCAGAACATTAAAAATAGGTTTCTTATCACCTGAAGTCTATGCAAATGCAAAAGCATACAAATAACTGTGTCCTGTCTTACGAAAATGAACGTTGCAACTCACACAGCCATTACCTCAAGTAATCCTGAATCATTAGTTTGTTTTATTGTCCTATCAGTTAAAAATACCTTAAATGGTATCTTTATCATATTGTAGATTTACTTCGCAAACTAATAGGTATAATGGTTTCAGCTGTTTAGCACATAAAGCATCTATTTATTTAATAGAATGGCCCAAAAGTAGTAATGAAACATGAGACATGACCATAACTCTAAAGGAAAAGCAAAAATAATTTCATTAGGTGTTACGCTTGAACCTATGTACAAACATAATGCCACTGCTCATGCCCTGAGTGCATCTGTCAGCCTATGGCAGCTTCTGAGCAAAAGCAGGAAAAAAAATCAAACCGGAAAACAAATTTGGAAAGCCCAGGCCATAAAATTACGTACGTCAAAATAAAACCAAGAAGCTTTGGGATTATTCACAATCTTCCTTCTACACCTGGCCTTCTTTTCCTGCCTCACTCACTCATTGGGTGGCTTGACTTCACTGCTGGTTTCCTCTACCCCGTGAACTGCTCTGCCATGCATCATAGGATAAGGAAAAGCAGCAGTGCCACAGCCATAACCAAGATCGGCAAGACGGGAGAGAGCTTTAATGCTACCTGGAGGTCTCCCTGGGCTGACTTTGTATCCCGCAGCTTTAGTGGTACCCAAAGGTCTGCCTGGACTTGTCTTAAATCCAGCCGCTTTGGTGGTTCCCAGGGGTCTGCCTGTGCTGGTCCGGTATCCTGCTGATTTGGTGGTTCCTGAAGGCCGGCCACGCTTACCAGATCGGTTGAGATTTTTCTTTTTCTTCAGTTCATCTTTTATCTCTATGCTTCTGCCACTAGTAGTCTGCAAGTGTGTTTCATTTAATGGGTCTTGCCTCTGACAAACCATTGGTTTGTGGCTGACTGTGTGGCTGTATTTGCTTTGCTGGGAGGAATATATGTCAAACTGATCAGCAGCTCTCATGGCATCTTCATTGAGGCAGGAAGGCTTGCCAGGCCCACAGAAAGCTGGATTACTGCTGGCAACAGGATGCATCATTTTCTACCAAAAATAAAAGACAAACATGTATAAATACGCATACGCAAATATATATCTGTATGGCAGCATTCAGTGGGAACATAGTTTGTCTTCGAACAACTATGCAGACTACCTAAAATTAGGCTGACAGGCAGGACTCCAGACCACTTATAAATAAACACACATCAGCAGATTCAAAGATACTTGTTTTTCTCAATTTAATCATGGATAGGGACAAACATCATACAAGATAACTCAATCTATAATACTGATGTAGAAGCCATAAACGTTCTCATTAGGAACTGGAAAAGTGTTTAAGTAGAAAACAAATGCTAGATTTTGTAGGCTTTTCTCTTCTAGATTACTAAAGTCCAAAAGAATAACAGTAAAGGTGGCCAGGCACCGTGGCTCACGCCTGTAATCCTAGCACTCTGGGAGGCCAAGGTGGGACGATCGCTTGAGGTTAGGAGTTCGAGACCAGCCTGAGCAAGAGCAAGATCCCCATCTCTACTAAAAATAGTAGAAATTAGCCAGGCAACTAAAAATAGAAACAAAAAATTAGCCGGGCATGGTGGCAAGCACCTGGAGTCCCAGCCTCTCAGGAGGCTGAGGTAGGAAAATTGCTTGAGCCCAGGAGATTGAGGTTTCTGTGAGCTATGTTGATGCCACCGCACTCTACCCAGGGTGACCGAGTGAGATTATGTCCCAAAAAAGAAAGAACAACAGTAAAGGTAAGAACTTTTACTAACACGATTCTTTTTATTCAGTTTGCCTAATGTTCTTAGAATGCCTTCTGTTGGCCTGTTATTGTATTTCCCACAAGTTTACTTCTGACCTGATAACAGATGCCACAAGATGGACACTCCATCATTCTTATTAATTTATTATTTATACAGAAACCTGAGTGTATGTTACGCTTTACAAAAGATAGAATGTGCCAAGCAAAGAACACAATCTCTTGGCCAAAGTACTGGCTCCCTTCAAACATATCCTACCCAAACAGAAGACAGTACTAGTACAAAGGGTAAACAAAGGTGTCCATTAGCTAAAATGAGTGAATATTTATACAGTTAAGACTTATACTACAAAAATATAGGTAATATCATAGTAAAATATCTCCTATTTTGAAGGTATGATTATCAAGACAAAAATGTACAACACTGCTTCCTTGATCATAAATATGGTGTGGATTTTCTTCCGTTACAGGAGTCCTGTGATTATTAAAGAACAGTCCCAGCCGGGTGAGCTGGTACATGCCTGTAGTCTCAGCTACTTGGGAAGCTAAAGTAGGAGGATCACTTGAGCCCAGAAGTTCAAGTCCAGCCTGAACAACATAGCAGGAAAAAAAGTCCAAAGTCTCTGTTTTGTCTATGAGGACATCCCTGTGATTTTTTTAAATAAAGAATTTATTAAAACCACCACCACCGCAAGCCAGCCACATCGTTTAGACACACAGGAAAGAGTTTTATAGAGTCTACAATATTACACAACAATGAGGCAAGAAAGATAAAGATACGGGTTCCATTTCAGATTTCGAAAAAGAATCACAAATGTATATTAAGGTCTAGCTCCAAGTCATTAGGAAATGCTCGCTTGTATACTTCATACATGTAAAAGTGCACCAAGACCTGAGTTATGAAAATAGTTACTCCCAGAGGCCACAAACAGGTAATAATGTGAGCCAAAACCACTGAAAACTTACTTCAATTTATAAAGGAAAGGGAAATTGGAATAAAGTCATAGGATCAAATTCTGTTAAACTAGTAAATATTTGCTGAGACTCAACAGATAAAGAGCTGCTGGCCAGCTGGCTTAAAGTCTTAACTTGAAGGAAAAATATTTACAGTGAGAAGCCACTTCTTTATGGCAGCAGCTTTTCAGACTTGAGAACATAAAACAAGACTGGGCTAAACACAAATAGTAAAAGGAATAATTTTTCATTCATTCCCCAAGGAGAGAAGAGATCTAGGAGAACTAGGTTATTAATTATCACTTCACTAGCTGAAATTCTAATTTCAGATGAGAAAAAAGGAGAGACCCTCAAAATGAGTTCCAAATATAATATTAGCTGAAAGTTAACCGTTTTTCAGCATTTTATATGTGCCAGGCAATAAGCTTGGTGCTTTGCACATTATTTGATTTAATTCTCAGCACAAGCCTATGAGGAATATACTATTATTAGCTCTATTTTACAGAAACAGAGGCAAAGACTTTAAGCAATGTGCCAAAGACACACATTAGGAAATAGTAAAGCCAAATATGAATTTTGATAATCCAACTTCAGAACCAACGATTTACAGTACAGCATACAGCTATACCAGGGTATTTCAACAGCAGCACTGTCTTTGGGTCAGATAATTCTTTGTTGTGGGGCTGTCCTGTGCATTGTAGGATGTTTAGCAGCGTCCTTGGCCTCTACCCACTAGATGTCAGTAGCAACACCTCTCTCCCTCCTCCAAAATTTGTGACAACCAAAAATTTCTCCAGATATTGCCAAATATTCCCTGGGGGCAAAATCTACCCCTCACCATGAGAATCACTCAGCTATAATAAAATGAAAACACAAGACCCAATTTAAAACATTCCCGCTTAAATTTTTATTCACTTTAGTCTCTACCTCACCAAATATTCACAAAATCTTTCTGCTGGTAACATCTACAAAGTCAAATAGATTTGTTTTTCCAAATTGAAGAAAAGCCAGTGTTGGAATTTGTGAAGGGAACAACCACCTTCCTCTCCCCTTCAAGTTATAAACTAATTGAGAAATATACACAGGAATTAGACAGAAATCAAAATACTAGTTTATTGCCAATAAAGTTGGACTAGAGACCACATACAAATACAAGGAGAAACACACACAGACCTGTGAGCAGAAGATTTTAAGAGAAAAAGTAAACCCTTTTTCAGTCTTATTACTCAGAAATCATCCTGCTGGAAAACTCTAATAAAAAGAGGTACAGAGGTACAAATTCTCTTCCACAGGTAGGACTGCCAGTGAAGGGAGAAAATATTTCTTCGTACAATCTGTGTCAATGTTTCATACTTCATGCCTTTTCAATTCCTATCAAAGTCTTACCAAAACCTTCCCTCTGGACCTTACTTCCCTTACTTCATTTTCTCTTAATGTATCAGAACATTCACAATCTGTCAGCACTCAGGATATATAGTCTCAGCTTACATTACCTTAGCCTTTAAAAGGTAAAATGCAACCACATATCCTTTACCAACCCACACTGAAAAAAACATATCATTAAAAAATTAGACCTGCAATTAAAAAAAAAAATCCATCTCCAATTTCTTTAATCCTCTCCAGGAATTCATGCCTTTGGTTTGTATTATATTAATATAGTTTTGATGTAGCTCACATTTATTGAGGGGGCCAACTCTGTGCAAGATACTGTTCTAAGAACTAGGACACAAAATAGTCAAGAGTAAAGGTGATTATTCCAATGGAAACACAAGACCTGACTTAAGGAACATTTCTAAAGTGTAGGTCTTCTATATATTCTATATTTTGCTTCCCTGCTACTGCCAAGAAATCAGTACAGTATTCTGCTTCCTCAATAATCAATTTACAAACTGGACAAGAAATTTACTATGACAATTACTCATGTAAACAGTTAACTAAAAAAGGAAACAGAGCTAAAATCAATACCTTGCTACTTTCAAGATGGGAATGAGCACTATTACATTCTTATGTGCACAGCCGTCACATATATGTTTATATGCAAGACATATATGTTTATATGAAATACGTGCATATATAAGCTTAACCCTACGCTGCATAATGGCTCCCTCCTACTTCAGGGCTAACAATTCTTTTTTTTTTTTTCTTTTTTTTGAGACAGAGTCTCACTCTGTTGCCCGGGCTAGAGTGCCGTGGCATCAGCCTAGCTCACAGCAACCTCAAACCCCTGGGCTCAAACAATCCTCCTGCCCCAGCCTCCCGGGTAGCTGGGACTACAGGCACGCACCACCATGCCCGGCTAATTTTTTCTGTCTTTAGTTGTTTGGCTAATTTCTTTCTATTTTTAGTGGAGACGGGGTCTCGCTCTTGCTCAGGCTGGTCTCGAACTCCTGAGCGCAAGCAATCCTCCCGCCTCGGCCTCCCAGAGTGCTAGGATTACAAGCGTGAGCCACCGCGCCGGCCAGGGCTAACAATTCTTGAAAGACTCTTCCCACACAGAGTTCACTGATGACAGTATGCAGGCTACATTTCTTAAGAGTGTCAGAATGAATACGTTTCTAGGAAGTCTGGACAGAATGTAAGCCAAGAGTTACAAAACAGACTCTGCAGACTGACGAAGGTTAAGGATCATCTTTTAAAATGGTTCACTGAATGTAAGGGTATCGACTAAGAGCTTCGATACATTGTGACTGTTATTACCAGCAAATTTGTTAAGCGTAAGCTAAAACTTGCCATCCCTGAAGTTGTTTTACTGTGTGCGTTTAACTCCTAAAGTTTAACCCCTACAGTGAACCGTTCTTTAAAGAACAATTCCCTTCCCTTCTCTTGAATGTGGCGGTCATTACTAACAACATAAAGAACTACAACTATTTTTAGTAACTTCACAAAGCATTCATGAAGCTTTCTAAACATGGAGAAAACCCGCCTTTCAAGAAACCCAGGTTCTGTTCTTCTCCAAAGATCCAACATCGCATACTTCTCCGAGATTTTATTTCGGGTCACTCGCTAACAATTATACGTAATCATAGACGACTTTATAATCCTAAACTGCTCATTTGCGACTCACCTCCAGCACTCTGAAAGTCTACCCGGCAAAGGCCAATAGCTATGCACTCTGCTCCCCCACGGAAAGTTTTGATACCAGGACTGAACATAAATAACTGCCTCCTTTGTCTTCTTTCTACTCCTTAATTGTGCCCCACGGCGCAGTTTCCCGGTGCCAGAGTCTCTTATTCGACATCAGGCGTTTAAAAATGTATTACCTGTTGTGTGCCCGAAAAGCGACTGTTAACGTATGAGCAACAACAAGTTTGCAGAAGAGACACGCCATACTAGAGAAAGCGTCGTGTACCCTCCAAACATCAAAAACACGGACCGCTGGCCGTCCTCTCGGAGTTGTGCAAGCCCACAGCCCACTTCGTCTAGACGCCGGCGTCGAACCCGGCAGGCTTTTATTTAAAGGACTTCGCATTTTGACCTCGCAAAAGAAAGACTGACCCCTCCCCACCGCCGCAGGAGGAATGTCCCCCCGCCATGGCTCCACACCCAGGGAAGAGCAGGCTGCGTCCGGGCCCTTCCTCTCGCTCCGGGCTAGGCCAGGGCCCCTCCGCAGGCGCGAGTGGGAAGCCCCTTCTCTCCAGCCGGCGAGGCGCTCGTTCTCGGCACCGGTCGCCTTCCGCACCGGCGCCCGCCGCCCCTGCTCCGCTCCCCGCCAGCTGACAGCCCCGCGCGCGCCCACCTACCTCAGCCGCTCGTAGTCCGGCCCCTCAGCGCGTCCAGGGGCTTCCCATCGGCTGGGAACCTCACGCTGGCGCCGCTCCCTCCCCAGCCCGCCGCCTCTGCCCGGTGCAGAGCAAAGTCCAAGGCAGAGGGTCAGGCAGCGAGGGCGGCGGCGAGGCAGACGCTGGCTCCCAGCTCCGGCCGCGGCCACCGCGCACGGTCGGGCCCTGGACGCAGAAGGAAGAGGCCGCTACAGCGCCGTAGTGCGAGAGGCGGCGTGCGCGAGCTCGCGAGGGCCGCGCACGCACACGCACGCACACACGCATCGCGAGAACCGGCCTCCCGCCGCGACCAGCACGCAAGCGTGGGGAGGGAGCCCGGGCGGCCAGACTGCGCTTGCGCCCGGGAACCTGCTGCCGGCCGGGCTGAGGCCTGAGTGGCTCGGATTGTGGTTTGGACCGTCCGCGGTAGCTGGGTTGGAGGGACCCACCAAAAAGAGAATTAATAATTTCCTTTCGGGTATTTTTTTCATCCCAATTCTGCGATGTCTGAACAACTACTGACCACATTTCTCACATTACAGGACTAATAATTGGCGGCCAGGATTTAGACCTAGCAGTCTTCTTCCAAGACGGTTTTAATCTCTTTTGGCAAAAAGATTATTAATGCCTCATTGTGCTAGGTGCTGCCCAAAGCATGTGCCAGGGACTCAGCCTCTGCTCTTTAGTTTCATACGGATGAGTAGGGTGAGATCCCACCTGTAAACAAAACGAGGAATATTTAAATAATTTAGGGAGTTGGGACCCTCAGGTCTAGAATCACGTGATAATAAAGCCTCATTTTGTGGGACACCCTGATCCATGATCTCTTAGAATTGCCATATTCTTCATCCCACCGTCACAGGAAAGGATGAGACAAGAGTAGTTTGCTTACAACTACTCCTATTATGTATTTATAGTGAGATTTCTGGCATAACAGTCAACCCATACAAACCCACTTAGAAGAAGGGATTTGTTTCCTCACTCTTTCCTCCTGTGAATTTCTGGATGTCAAAAAGGAGAGGATTCAGAATAAGGGCAGCTACTGAGAGAAAGACACTTTATTAAGCTGGGGGAAGAGACCAGAGGAGGGTGCTCGTCCTTGCCCCCCATGCAATGAAAGCTATTTGAGGGGACAGTTCATAGTACTGAGTTCCACCATAACTATATCCCTCAGCCAGGTGTTGCCCTGCCACTAGGGAAGAAAGGAAGAGCTACAACTTTTCTGGATGAACACACAAGCAGGAGGAAAATCAAATACAACACATGAAACAGGCAAGCCCGTTCATTCAACCTACTGAGGGACTGGAGACTGAGCTCAGCCATGTAGGCAGTTGACAATGCCTGCCTGATGGGCTCCAATATAAAAACCCTGCACACCAAGGCTCAGGTGAGCTTCCCTGGTTTGGAAGGTAGGATTCTTTGGGCAGGCAGGGTTTCATAACGTGATTCTAAACATCATTCCAACTAATTACCCCTAGAAAACAGGACTAATCATGCTAGTATGGTTTATACATAAAAGGAAAATATCAATATGGAAAACAGTTAAAATATGTATGTAGATTTGAAGGTACATTAAGTAGCCTACCAAAAAACAAGTTTTCTCTAAGCAAGGCTTTTTTACTCTTCAAGTGGAATTTCAGAATGTATCATAGCATTCCCATTCCATATCATGACTATTCCAAATTCATAACTCTAAACTTTTGTCTGAAGGGTAATTTGTACATAAAAACGCTTAAGAAACAGAAACTTTTGTACTGACGAGGTTGAGTAATTTGCAGGCACAATGGAGGGGTAGCCAGAGTAACAGAGGAAGTCAGACATTCCTGGGTTTGAATGTCTGAATTTGAATGCTTTTCTGCCACTTACCTCCAGTGGTATCTTGGGCAAGTCACTGCTCTTCCAGAAGTTTCCTCATGTGTGAAATGAAGACAATATCTTTCTTTTAGGTCTGTGAAATTAAATAAGCTAGTAGGGATATTTAAAGTATCAGTACTAAGAGGTTCATGATACTATTCTATTTTCAAATAAATTTTCCACAAAAGTTTTTAAGCTCATACAAGTTTGTTATACTGTTCTTGAAAAGAACCAAATATAAACATGCCAATAAAATCTTCAATAAGAATTCATAGGAATAAATATTCACTTCATTAGAGTTAAGGGGAATAACTGAGGAAGACTTGCAGAGGATTTGAGTTTTGAGCTGGGATTTGAAGAAGGTGCTGGGCACAGATTGGTGGAGTAGAAGCCGATGGCCATGGGCGAGATTACAGCAAGTACATTTACACTGGTATAACAAGTTTCACCCACTGAATGCTCCAGGAAGCGTTGGAGGTGGGCTTTAAACTGATACTTTATTCTGGAGACATCTTTGACAGAAGCAGTCTAAACCAGGAAATGTCAATAGGAAATCTCCAGCTAGCTCTCTTCAGGGGGCGATCTAGTCACCAAGCTGAAACTGCACAGACATATCAGCTGGCTTTTCTAGGTGATGACTTTAGTAATAAAACAGAGGTCACTTGGCCGGGCGCGGTGGCTCACGCCTGTAATCCTAGCACTCTGGGAGGCCAAGGCGGGCGGATTGTTTGAGCTCAGGAGTTCGAAACCAGCCTGAGC